TCAGGAAAATGTCTATTTATTCCAAAAAATACCAAGTCGCAGCAACTCTGGCTGTCCTCACCAGGGGGAGGGGAAGGGACCAGTTTTGGAGAGGGGAGTGGCGAGAGGAGGGATGAGGAGGGAGGCAGAAGCTGTTGGAGGGTCTTCGGGTGTGGAACTGTTTTATCTTCTCCCTGTGAACCACCCCCTCCCTAGCTCCCCCACCCAGAAGGGGAGATGCCTCTGTGTGTGTGTGTGTGAGTGTGTTTGTGTGTGTGCGTGTGTGCGCGCGCTTGTGTATGCATGGGTTTGTGTGCCTTTGTTGGGGAATGGGGAAGACTCAGATGACGAGACCCCAGCTCAGGAAATGTGGAGGGGAATTGGCAGTACACAGCTGCTCCCACCCCTCGAGACCTCTCCCCTCTATGGCTTATTCTAGAGCAAATCAAGGCCCCAGGGTCAGGCAGCCTGTGCTGACTGAATGGGGACAGGGCTGGGGGCAGGATTCCTGGAACCAGACTGGGCTAGAGCTAGTGAAGGGGGGCATACAAAAGCTGAAAGGCCCAAATCCCCAAATCCTGGGGGCTGGAGAAAGCTGAGTGTTCTGTGGAGGTGTTGAGCAGAGGGAAGGGACTGGGAGGCAGGGGTGCTCAAGGTGGCTCCTTCAGGCCCCCGGAAGGGATGGGAGGAGCCCCTCAGAGCAGCTAGAAGCCATGGGGTTGAAAACCTGGCACCGAGGCCTAGGTAGATTTGGGTAACCCGCCCCGTTTCCTCAGTGTGGTGGGAGCCAAGGGCCACTTGCCTGCCCCAAGCTCCTGACAAGAAGGAGCATGAGGTGCCAGTGTTTGAGGGGAGACAGAAGAGGGAAGGGGACGGCCCAGGGGAGGAAGAAGAGGCCCCCCCACCTCGCCCTGGGGGCTGGGGGAGGGGCTTGTAGCCCTTTAAGAGTTGGGGAATGGCCGCCCCCGCAACATGGCTATGTACAAAGAGAATCGAGGGGAGATTGTGCATTGGGTGCTGGGGACTTCCTGCCACCCCGGGAGGCTCCGGGGGTGTTCGGGCATTAGGGAGGGAGGTGAAGGAGCACCCTGGCCCTGCCAGATGTGCCGGCAGGGACCGTTGCTCTGCAGTGTTCTGCTGCAGGATCAGGCCAGCAGAACAGCATGGAAGGCCCCAGGTCGGTCACCAGCTTTGGCCCGTCCCGTGGGGATCAGGGGTCTCTGAGAAGAATTTGGCAGGAGCCAGCAAAGTGCTGATCCTAGTAGGGGCCCAGGTGACAGGGATTGGGCAGGGGTTAGTGGTGTCACCCGAGGGTTGGAATGCTCCCCTCTGCTGATGATGAGAGGTTGCTGGGTTGACCCTGTCACCAATCAGTTGGCTGGGTGAGGGGCAGCGATGCTGTCAGGAGGGGCCTGGGGGCCGAGGTGAGGCTGGCTGAGGCCACATCTGTGGTGGGGTTGATCCAGGCATCATCCTTGGTCAGCAGTGAGGCAGTGAAATAAGGAGGGCCAGAGTGGGGGTGAAGTCACCAGAGGGAGGCAGGTGGCCCCACCCCTGTCCACTTTGTAGAAACGGGAATATGGCCTTTGTGCTGGTTCCCCTTAAGTGAACAAATGTAAGTACCATGTGGCTCCAGAGGACAACTGAAATACAGCTTGTCATGGTACTTGGCTCCTAAGATGATGGCTCTTGGGGGATGATGGCACGTGGTTGCAGTGGACTCTGGAATGACACCAGGGTTATGGGGGATCCTAGTGGGTGGAGATCCTAGTGGGTGGTGACAGCATTGGACCCCATGGATCCCAGGAGATGACACCAGGGTTATGGGGGATCCTAGTGGATGGTGACAGCATTGGACCTCATGGATCCCAGGAGATGAAGACACCAGGGTTATGGGGGATCCCAGTGGGTGGTGACAGCATTGGACCTCATGGATCACAGATGAAGACACCTGGGTTATGGGGGATTCTAGTGGACGGTGACAGTATTGGACCCCATGGATCCTGGGAGATGAAGACACTGTGGTTGAAGTGGATCCTAGGAGATGACACCACTGGCTCTCATGGATCCTGGGAGGTGACAACACCACAGGTGAAGCGGATCCTGGGAGGTGGTGGCACATGGTTGAAGTGGATTCCCGGAGATGATGACACCATGGCTCCCATGGATCCTAGCAAATGCTGATGACACTATTGGGCATCGTGGGTCTTGGGAGGTGATGACATCATGGTTGGAGTGGATCCTGAGAACTGATAACACAATAGCTACGGTAACTCCTGGGACATGAAGACACATGGTTAAAGCCGATCTGGCGGGTGATGACACATGGCTCTCATGAGTCTTTGTAGATAATCATGACACTATTAGGCGTTATGAATTCTGGGATATGCTGACACCATGGTTGAGTGGATCCTGGGAGGAGATGATACCACAACATGAGGGATTATGGGAAATGGTAGCATCGTCAGTCCTAGTGGATTTCAGTAGAGAATGTCTCTGTCAGGCATAGTGGATTCTGGAAGGTAATGTCATCCTTGGTCACGGTGGGATCTAGGAGACGATGGCACCATCAGCTGTGGTGGATCCTGAAAGTCGATGACACCATGGTTGTGGGGAATCATGGAGGATGGTGACACCATTGGCTATGGGGAGTCTTGGGAGATGGTGATACCATTAGTCATGGTAAATTCTGGAAGGGGATGATACCATAGTTGTGGGTCACAGGGAATCCTGGGAAAGGATTCCATCCTCAGACATGGGTAACACTTGACCCCAGGTGCAGTGCCATCATGAGCAGCGGGTGTTGCGTGGTGCTGACATTGTCAGCGAGGGCAAGAACAGGTGCACTGCAAACACCTCCCCTCAACAGAAGGCTAGGACTTTGTTGCCAGAGTGACTGTCTGTAGATATGGCAGAAAGAAGAGGGAGGCCAGGCTAAGGGACACCTATGAGTGCCAGGACTCCAGGATCCTGGTGACCCAGAGTGGTCTCCTGGGAGCACAAGGCCACCCGCAGGTTCTGTCTCCCAGGAGTCACTGCACAGGCATGGGATCCAAGCCCCATTTGCCCTCAGCGGCTCTGGCAGAGATCCTGCTGGGTATGTCCCTGGGTCTGGGGAGGGAGCCACCAAGCTAAGTCACGGTGGGTCAAGGCAGTAACTCTGGTGATGGCCAATAGCGACGGCCTTCCAGAGTGGGCAGTGCCTCTGAGGAGGGAGCTCTGGTGATGCCATCACAGCCCTGGGGGCAGGGGGATCACTGCCGACAGCCTACACAGACCATCATCTCAGGAGGACGCCCTCCACGTGGGCGGCTCCGCAGCGGGGCTTCCCTCAGACAACATCCTTGGACAGGGCCCCTCTCTGCTCTCTGGCATCTTCTCTGGGGTGGTCCTGGACTCCAGGCCTGCCCTGCCTTCTAAAACATGGTGGCAGCAGTGGAGGCATCTCCTCGTCCCGTCTCAGAGCACGTAGCATCTGGGTGACATCGCAGAAGGGACCTCCTCCTGGAGGAGAGGTCCCAGAGTGAGTTGTCATCTCTGGTGATGACATCACGGGAAGAGGCACGGTCCCTCTGATGACGTCATAGGGCAAGGCACCTTCTCTGGTGATGGCATCACAGGAAGGAGGCAGGGTCCCTGTGACGATGTTGTGAAAAGGAGGCCTTATGTTAGTGAGTACACAATTAGTGAGGCATTTTCCCCTGTGGCATGTCCCAGGAAGATGGCTTTGTCTGTAAAGATGACATCATAGGACAGAGGCATCTTCTCAGCTGCAAAGACACAGGGAGAAAGTATCTTCCCCATGGCGATGATGCCAAGAGGCCTTGGAGTTAGAGATGGCATCATCCAGGTGAGATTGTCTCTGCAGTGACATCACAGGAACGAATGTCATGGGACAAGGCGTCGTCTCTGTTACTACACCACAAGAAGGAAGCCTCTGAGGACATCATAGAACACGGACGTGGCCTCCAGCGATGACCTCATGGCCGGCCTCTTCCTCTGTGATGACCTCATGGGAAGGAGGCTTTGTCCCTGTGATGACATCACAGGACACAGACATTTTTGCTAGCGATGACCTCACGGGCTGGCCTCTTCCTCTGGGATGACATCATGGGAAGGAGGCCTTGGCTCAAGCAGTGACGTAATAGAAGGAGGAATCTTGTCTGCCAGGACATCCTGGAAGGAGGCTTTGACTCCTGTCCAAGGGCCTTTCTGGGCCCCAGGCCCCTGGCGTGTGTGTGCCTGTGTCGGGGGATCCAGGCTGGGACAGGGGCCCGGGAAGCCGCAGCCCCCCAGCCCCGGCCCTGGCCTCAGACAGTCACCTCGTTCTTGCTGGCGGTGCGCAGGTGCTGCGGCAGGTGGTGGCCCGGGATGAACTGCAGCTGCTCCAGCGTGCCCTGGCGCTGGAAGGGCGGCCTGCGAGCCAGTGTGCCCCCGCCCCCGCCGGCGTCGGACATCCAGGCGGGCTGTGGCGAGCCGTGCAGGGCGTGGTGGTGGTGGGCGTGCAGGCTGGACGGTGGCGGCAGCCCACGCAGCGGCGTCGGGGGGCCCCCAGGCCCCAGCAGGAGGTTGGAGTGCGAGGCGGCCAGGCTGGCCCGCGCGGTGGGGTCTGGGGGCAGCGCGGGGCTGCGCGGGGGCGACAGCAGGTGCTCGCGGCTCTGGCGCAGGGCCTCGGGCGAAGACAGCAGCAGGTGCTCCTGCGACACGAGGCGCGCGCGCGGCAGCGTGAACTCGTAGCGCGAGCGGCCGGCGTCGCCCAGCAGGTGCTCCTGGGACATGACGCGCCGTGGGTTGGGCGCCGGCGCCAGGCCCAGCTCCTCGGGGCCGCCCCAGGCATCCATGCGGTAGCCACCCCCGGTGCCCGGCCGCCGCAGCGCGTGCAAGGGCAGCGTGCCGCGGGGCAACTCCAGAGGCCGGCGCTTGAGGTAGGCCTCGTCCAGATCCTTCTCGGCTGCGGGTAGAGGGGGAAGAGCCACAGCGGTGGGTCCCCGCGCATCCAGAGCCCTCCTCTCCCGCCTCCTCACATCCCGCTCCCATGCAGGTCTGTCGCCCCCCACAGTACCCCGGGCATCAGGCTAGCTGTGTAGCCAAAATACAGATTCCCAGGCCCAGCCCACAATGCTGGGTCAGTAGATTTTTTTCCCCCCTGCCTCTGCCTAAACCTTCTTTTTGGAGTAGAACCCAACTCTTGCTTTTAGGGAACCACTGACCCCCTCCCTTTCATCCTGTAGCAATGTTATTCACATTTGGAGTTGTGACCTGTTGCATTGTGATGTTGATTTCATAGGTAGTGAGCAGCGTTTAGAAAAATAAAATCAAATAGAAGAGAAAACTATCAGAACGTGTTTATATACTAAGGGAATTGGGGTAAGTGCTGGTTCATAAAATTCTTACTTCAGATGTGTGTGTGTGTGTGTGTGTGTGTGTGATTGAAATATCAAATCATGAGTGAGATTTAGTTTAAAAGAATCCACCAAGGCCGGGCAAGGTGGCTGGCTCCTGAAATCCCAGCACTTTGGGAGACTGAACAGGAGGGTCGCTTGAGCCCAGGAGTTCAAGACCAATCTGGGCAATATAGTGAGACCCCATTTCTACAAAAAAAAATTTAAAAATAGCCAAGCATGGTGGTGTATGCCTGTAGTCCCAATTACTCAGGAGGCTGATGTGAGAGGATTGCTTGAGTCTGGGAAGTTGAGCCTGCAGTGAGCCATGACTGCACCACTGCACTCCAGCCTGGGTGACAGAGTGAGACCTTGTCTCTTTTTCTTTCTTTCTTTTTTTAGACTGAGTTTCACTCTTGTTGTCTAGTCTGGAGTGCAGTGGAACAATCTCGGCTCACTGCAGCCTCCACCTCCTGGGTTCAAGCAATTCTCATGCCTCAGCTTCCTAAGTAGCTGGGATTACCAGGCATGCACCACCATGCCTGGCTAATTTTGTATTTTTAGTAGAGACGGGGTTTTACTATGTGTCAGGCTGGTCTCAAACTCCCGACCTCAAGTGATCCACCCACCCTGGCTCCCAAAGTGCTGGGATTACAGGTGTGAGCCATCCTGCCCAGCTGACCTTGTCTCAAAAAAAAAAAAAAATCCATCAAAAGGTGGGGTGGAGGGAGGACAGATTAACAAAATGTGGCTAATTATTAAGACTGAGTGATGGGAACATGGGGCTCATTTTATAATTTCCTCTACTTACATGCATGTTTGCAAATGACCATAATAAAAAGTTTTAACGCTTTCCTGTAATTAAAAATATATGTGTGTATGTATATGTGTGTGTGTGTGTCTCATGGGTCACAATATGAAGATCATTGCTGGGCTGGGCATGGTGGCTCATACCTGTAATCCCAGCATTTTGGGAGGCCAAGGTGGGTGGATCATCTGAGGTCAGGACTTCAAGACCAGCCTGACCAACAAGCAGAAACCCTATCTCTACTAAAAATACAAAAATTAGCTGGGCATGGTGGCATGTCCCTGCAATCCCAGCTACTCCGGAGACTGAGGTAAGAGAATCACTTGAATCCAGGAGGCAGAGGTTGCAGTGAGCTGAGATGGTGTTTGCACTCCAGCTTGGGCAACAGAGTGAAACTCTGTCTCAAAAAAGGAAGAAGGAGAAGGAGAAGGAGGGGAAGAAAGAAGAAAGAAGGCCGGGTGCGGTGGCTCAAGCCTGTAATCCCAGCACTTTGGGAGGCCGAGGCGGGTGGATCATGAGGTTAAGAGATCGAGACCATCCTGGTCAACATGATGAAACCACGTCTCTACTAAAAATACAAAAAATCAGCTGGGCATGGTGGCATGTGCCTGTAATCCCAGCTACTCAGGAGGCTGAGGCAGGAGAATTGCCTGAACCCAGGAGGCGGAGGTTTCGGTGAGCCGAGATCGTGCCATTGCACACCAGCCTGGGTAACAAGAGCGAAACTCTGTCTCAAAAAAAAAAAAAAAAAGAAAGAAGAAAGGAAGAAGAAGGAGGAGGAGGAGAAGGAGGAGGAGGAGGAAGAGAAGGAAGGGGAGAGGAAGAGAGAGGGAGAGGGAGAAGAGGAAGAGGAGGAGGAGGAAGAAAATCATTTCTGGCTGGGTATGGTGGCTCATGCCTATAATCTCAGCACTTTCAGAGGATGAGGTGGGTGGCTTGCTTGAGCCCAGGAGTTTGAGACCAGCCTGGGCAACACAGTGAAACCCTGTCTCTACAAAAAATACAAAAATTAGCCAGGCATGGCAGCACGAGCTCTTAGTCCCAGCTACTCAGGAAGCTGACGTGGGAGGATCATGCTTGAACCTGGGGAGGTAGAGGCTGCAGTGAGCTATGATTGTGCCACTGCATCCCAGCCTGAGTGACAGAGTGAGACCCTGTCTTGAAAAAGTAATAATAATAAAGAAGAAAAACTGTTTCCTGGTGAGGCTTTCACTTTAAGATGTTTGAAGGCTGCTCCACTGCCAGAGGTGGGCCACAGACTGGAAAATGTCCAGTCGGAGTCACAGGAATTGGTTCAGGGATGGCCATGTGACCCAATGTGGACCAGTGGCAACCAGGCCTGGGATTTTTGCTGAAATTGTTGGGAGAGACTCTTTCCTGCCAGGGCCCCTGAGCTTGTAGAACGGTAGCCTGAACATCTGCAGGGTGATCGTTGCCACCACGAGGGGAGACTGTCTGAAAATGAGGCCCGCCGGTCGCCTAAATTGCTGAGAGACAGCTCTTGAACTCCCGAAACAGCCACATCCCAATTTGGTGACCTGCAAACTTTCCGTTATCAGGTCAATGAATATTTTTCCTTTAGCCTAAGTTGCATTACTATTGATTGCAAGTCCAAGTTCTGATGAATAAAACAATAAGTCCTGGGAGGAGACATCAGAAGGTTGCATTTTAAAAAAGCAAACCAGAATGATTCTGATACAAAAGTACCTCAGGTAACTCTGCAACAAACTTGGAGTAAAACCTGAGAGACAATCTAACCGCGGGAAGGCGCTTGGGCTGCTGTCCATGGTCCTGAACCCAGGCTCTGGCCCTGCCCGCTTCCCTTTAGCGCCCCGCTGCCCCTGCTAGGACTCACCCAGCCTCTTGAGAGAGGAGTAGCGATTCAGCTCGGACTTCACGGCAGCCTCGTAGGACGGGGGCAGATGCGAGAGGTTGTGGAAGGACCGAGAGCAGGACAGCGTGGAGTAGTGCAAGGAGGGGCTGGGCGGCGGCAAGGCTCGCCAGTCTGGTTAGAGGGGGCAAGGCCAAGGTCAGTCAGACTCCTCCCTCAGACCCAGGGGTCTAGACCCCAGCCCCTCCTCCCTCAGACCCAGGAGTCCAGACCCCAGCCCCTCTTCCTTCAGGCCCAGGAGTTCAGGCCCCAGCCCCTCCACCTTCAGACCCAGGAATCCAGGCCTCAGCTCCTCCTTCCTCAGACCCAGGAGTCCAGAACCTAGACCCTCCTCCCTCAGACCCAGGAGTTCAGGCCCCAGCCCCTCCCTCAGACCCAGGAGTTCAGGCCCCCAGGCCCCACCTACCTCAGACTCAGGAGTCCAGACCACAGCCAGTCCCTCCTCCCTCAGACCCAGGAGTCTAGGCCCCAGCTCCAGGAGTCCAGACCCCAACCCCTCCTCCCTCAGACCCAGGAGTATAGGCCCCAGTTCCCTCCTCCCTCAGACCCAGGAGTCCAGGCCCCAGCCCCTCCTCCCTCAGACCCAAGATCCAGGCTTAGCCCTCCCCTCTCTGACCCAGAAGTCCAAGCCCTCAGCCCCTCCTCCCTCAGACCCAGCAGTTCTTTGGGGAGTTAGAAATCTGAGACTGTAGCCCATCAGAATTCCAGCAGTTTCGGCTCCCTTTTCTCACCCCACCCCCTCTGCTCCAGGAGACAGGCTTGATGCTGGGGAAGAGGACCCCAAGAGGGGGGCACTGGGCATTCATCAGCACCCACTGAGTGCCTGGCCCCAGGCTCCATGCACCTTCCCCTCAACCATGTGGGAGAGAGATGACCACTTTCGGCGTCCACACGAGGAAACTGAGGCTCACTTGGTGACCTGGCCAGACCATGAGCGCCATGAGGACTGGGCTCACAGGGGCCTTGCTCCTGCTCTATACTGGGCACCTGGCATGGCTGGCCCAACACAGAGGGGGAAGGGAGGAGCCCTGCTCCTCCCCGCAGCCAGGCCCTCTTCCGTACCCAGTGTGGCGGCGTGGTGCTTGGGGCTGTTGACGTTGAGGTGCAGGTAGTTGTGGTGCAGATTATCTGGGGGGACCGAGAAGGGAGGTGATGTCACTGCCGTCGCTGACTCCCAGCTGGCACCGCGGCCCTGATCTCTGGGAAGGACTCTGGCCTCAAGGTCAGCCCCACATGCAGGTCCTTGTTAGAGCTTCACAGATCAACCCATGCCATTGGCCACATGGGGGAAACTGAGGCTGGGGGACTTGAAGATGGAAAGTGTGGGCACAGGCTCAGGGCTGGGTAAGTGGTCTGTCCCAAGTTCCTACCATTTCCCCCGCCCCGTGCCCAGGCTAGAAATCTGGGGGTTCTCCTTGCTACCTCCTTCCACCTCCCACTCATGTCCACTTGGTTCCTCCTGACTACTGAATCTCTGCCCCAATATGTCCTCTCCCTCCTGGATTGCTGAAGCAGCCTCTGGTCATCCCGTCCATCCATCTCCATTATCAGCCTCACCGAAGTAACTGCCCCTCCACTGTTCAACAGCCTTCCCATGGATCGCCGTCACGGGACAAAGTCGAACCCAGGAACAGTGTTTGAGGTGTCAAAACCTGGACCCACCGGATGTCTGCAGCTCCATCTCCCAGCCCTTCCCTCAAGCCACGCTGCTGTCCCCAGTGAGCTCAGTGTGGTCCTGCCACAGGCCCTTTGCACACGTCACCATGCTGTTCTCACTGCCTCGAAGCCCTTCTTCCTGTCTCAAGATCCAGCTCCCATGTCTCTTCTCTCCATCCCTGACCCCAGCTCCGTCCCCGTCCTCTTGCTGCCTGGACCATCATCCCAGCCTCCTCCGGGGCCTCTTTCCTCTCATCTCTCCCCTTCACATGGGTTCCAGAGGATGAGTTCTTCCACCCACTGCTGACTGTGTTGCTCCCCTGCTCTAGCTCCTCAGTGGCTCTCTATCGCCATCAGGACAGAGGCAGAGCTCCTCAGCCCAGCCTGGCACTCAAGGGCCCTCTTTGAGGTCACCAGCCACTCTCTCCCTGGCCTCAAGTCTGGCCACCTCACAAGCTCTGCCACCCAGAGCTTCCCAGTCCCAGTAATTCCGCTCCTCCTCCAGGCCTTTGCTCAAACACCTCTCCCTCAGAGAAGCCCTCCTGCCCCTAAACCAGACCAGATCTTCTCAGTCCCCCTGACAGCTCCCTGGACTTCTCCACTGATGCACTCATCATAAATTATAATATAATGATCTATATCATATGTAAATGATATATAATATTAAATATGATATATGTCATATTTTAAGTATACAATTATAGATTAAACAATAGCAATAGCTCACAGTTACTTAGCACTTTTCTTTTTTTCTTTCTTTCTCCCTAGACTGCTCAGCAGAATGCTTAGCATTTTTTTCTGTGTTGCACATTACTCTAAATATCTGCTTCATCAATTCATTTGCTCTTCACCATAACCCCATGAAGTGAGTACTGTTATGTTTCTCATTTTACGGATGGAGAAACTGAAGCCCAAAGAGATGAAGTCACTTGCTCCAGGTCACGCAGTGGCAGAACCAAAATTCAAACCCAGTCAGTCTGGGTCCTGACAAATTAGAGTTTGGTAGTTGTGTCCTTGTGTGTAGTTGGTTGTTGGGTGGTCTGACACCGAGCGCAGGGGCTTGAGAATGTCTAAACCTACATCACCAAGGTGTCCATGGAGCCCACCCAGGGGGGTTCACAGGAGGGGAGGGAGGGGGTCTGGCTCTCTACGGATTGTGCCCCTTCGGCATTGCGCAGGACAGGACCCTACTGTGCAAGGGTGACGTAGAAGAGCGGGGGTGGGGCCTGGGCGATGGGGGTGGAGCTGCCATGGAGGGCGGGGCTACAGCATGATGGGGCCTGGCCAGAGACGGAGTCTGCGCCGTATCCCACATCCCACTCACCGAGGTTGGGGGTCTTCACGGTGTTGTAGAGGTTCTTGGGCGTCCTGGGGGGCATGCTGTCGGGGCCACCGATCCCAGGGGTCAGGGAGCTGCTTCGGGCCCGATCTGGACGGGTCCCAGGCCCCGCCTGATGCCTCAGAATGTCCACCAGAGCTCTAAAGGTGGCAGAGAGGTGGTCAGTGGTTTGGGGTCTAGGGCTGGCAGCGGACGCAAGGAGGGCCCAGGCTGCTTTCCACTCCCTGTTCTAGCCCTTGGGGCATCTGTCACTCAGCCTGCTTTCCGCCACTGGCCACGCCCCTTTCGCGTTGGCCACGCCCCCTCCAATGTCCCGCTCTCTCGGGCCACACTTTCTGCTTGAGGCGTGCTGCCTTACTTAACTCGCGTGGACCCCACCCCTTCTGTGGTCCCTCTCATTTTCCTGTGGGCTCGCCCTGAATCTGGGACCCCATTCCCGTTCCTTTTGCAGCCTTCCCCATGGCAACAAAGGGTGCTCCATTCACCCAGTGATGTGGACCTCCAAACTTAAATCGCTTTGACTCCTTTTTTTCCTCCCTTCATACCTTTCAGCAATTCTACGGATCGAATCTCCAAAACGTATACCCACTACTCACCACCTCTGCAATCTCTCACCTGGATCGTGGCAACAGCCTCCTTCCGGGCCTCCCCGCCTCCACCCTAACCCGGTACAATCCAGTCTCACGCACAGCCCGAGCTCAGACCCTGCAGTGGCCCCACCACACTTAGAGTCACCCCAGGCCTGCCCGCTTCTCCTCGCGTCCTGCTGCCCTGCCCTGCAGGCCACTGAGGGCTTCTGCATGCGGTTTCCCCTGCCCAAAATCTCTCGCACACAGATCTCTGTGTGGCTCGCTCCCTCCCTTCGGGTCTCTGTTCCGAGGCCTTTTCGGATCGCTTCCTGTAACCCAGCATCCTCTCCCTCAGCACTTTCCACTGACTTACGGACTCGGCCACTGACATTTAATCAGCACTTACGGTTTGCCAGGACTCTACATGAATCAACTCAGTTAATCACAATCCGAACAGGTGAGGACGATGATTAGTCACACTGCGCGGACAGGAAACTGAGGCACGGAGAGCTTAAGCAACCCGTCTACAGTCACACAGCCTGGAGGCCGTGAACTTGGATTTGGAAGTCAGCCTTCTCTACCAGGGCAGATACCTTGTTTTGTTCACTGCTGTATCCCCAGCTCCTGGCCCACAGAAGGTGCTCAAGAAGTATGTGTGAATGATGAGAGCCTGAGCTTCTGCCCCTCCCTGCATCACTCCGCAATAGCCAGATCCGCTCTGGCGCGGCTTTCTCAGCTCCTGTCCACCTCCAGCTCCCCCGACCGCCGCCACCGGGGTCTCTGACCACGCCCCATCCCTGCAGCCCCGCCTCCTCGGATGGCCCCACCTCCCTCGCCGGGCCCCGCCCCAGGCTCCCAGTCCTTCGGCGCAAAGCAC